TTCCCTACAAAATATGAGAAACTTGACTCGGGCATAACTTGATTATAATGCAATAGACCTCTCACGCAAATATTAACTATTGATTTTAAATTTGTTAAAAAGAGAATATTTTTACACAAATTCGAGAAAGAGGTGAAAAATTTTTAACTTTTAGATTTAATGATATATCGAGAGAGAGAGAGAGAGAGAGACCATTACGATTATCATGTGTATTGTGTGTGTTTCATAAAAACATATAAATAACTTTAAAATCAATCTCTCTTTATTTAATTGCGACGTTTATAAAAGCGCAATTAATAGTTACGCAAATAAATTTACTCACCGGCCGCTGCCGCTTTCCTCGATCTTTTCAGAGTCAGCTCCAGAGTCTGAAATTACGTCTTGCTCCGTCTCTCTTCAGTCTCCTCCGACTAGAATCAAACGAAAAAGAACGCGATATTAGCTTTGATACTACGTTTAACACTGAGCGGCCATGCGTAAAAGAATGCAAAAAATACGACGATTTACCTGCGATAGCGAGTAAACAAATAACGACACCGTACGTGCGCGCTATTCGACCGACCGCGCGCCATAAACAAAATAACAAATTACTCTGTATATACTGTGTATAGTCGACCGACTACTACGCAATCGGCCGACAGTTCATTCGGTGTATCGGCAATGCTCGATTACTTTACGCGCGGAATTAACAATCGAATTAAAAAAAGAAAAACGCACCAAGGGGTTTTGCCCTGCAGAGATGTTCCCTTGCGAAACGCGAAATAAAAGTCACGGTTCACGCTACGCGTACTAAAACCGCGAATCGAATATCGTTAAACGAAACAGCCGAACGTTATTGCGTACCTTTCTAACACAGTTCTAACGATCGCTCGATAGTTTCGATGATTGGATATCCTATTACGAAACAGATACACGACGAAGGGTTAATAGCGCGGGATTACGATCGGCGCTGGTTAACTGCGTAATAATCGACACGCCGGCGTCAACGATCGTCCGATACTTCACAATCCGCAGAAACCCTCTCGGATACTGCTTATTTGTTGCGTATTTGACGAAAACAAAGCGAGATAAATTGACGGGATATGCGAACGGCGCTATAAAACTAGCACGACGCGGAGCACGAGACAAAGACGGCATTATACTAAGGCTACATTCAATTTTTGTAGCCGAATCTAGGTATCCCCCCGGCCAATTTGTTATTCCGAATAAAACAAAAATTCAATCTTTGCCGTGATTTGTTGCCATTTGTTGCGTCAAGACGAACACGGAGTAAAAGAAAGAACGACGGGCATTTCGATCAATCAAATGTTTGTAATAACATCTGAAAATTAAGAATAATTAATCACAGAGAAATTAAAAGAATCGATTTTAAATTAGCCAATTTATCGATTTGTTCGAAAATAATTGTACCATGAAATATCAATTAATCAAGAATATATACATATATTAATACAATATAAATTATTTATTAATATATAATATTGTTTGATATAACGTCACTTAATTATCATCAATCAATTTAATATTTCAATCGGTATATTCAAGAAACAAATTTATACCCGTGATATTTACTTGATACTTGGATATCGATATCGTTACTCTACTATCGATTACGTTATGTGATATGAATGTAACGTTCCGAGATACACGCAATCACTGTTAAACTATGCTCTGCTACCAAATATTGTTGTCCGCACAACTATTTACTATCGCGTATCTCAATACAGACGATCGATCTTTCAATCGCTCATAGCAACGCTTTAGCTATAGCTATATCATAATGCCACGATATCAAAGTGATACCCGATCGATTTTTATGCGAATTTTGACAAAACTGCAAATTCTGGAAATGGAAAGATACGATGCAACCGTTCCGAGTTAGTAAGTTATTTTGAATTGTTAATAATTTATCGAGCATAATACATTGGCAAGTGCACATCAGCAGCAATTCTAAATCGTATTTTTTCACGTGACATAATTCGTATAGATTTAATCGAATGCATGCTTAAACATTTTGCAAATCTTTCATTACATCATGAATTTGACACAGTAATTTATGCAGTGAAATATCTGATTTCCCTCAAAAGCAGCAAAGATTAATGAACCACTATAAGCAAGTGAGAATCTAAGATCAAATCTATATATATAAGTGGACAAAACGTATATTATCACAATATAGCGCTACGTGTTCACAAAAAGATTATTTATTTCAACGTAAGAGTGCAATTTCTTTAATGAAAAAAATAATAGGAGATTATCCTCTCTATTAAAAATGTCAATTATTTTATATTAATTAATATATTAATAATATATAATATACATACACAATTATTATATGAGTGTAATATATATACAATATATTTATTAATATGTGTAATATGTGTATTCTTAATACAATATATGTAATATACATATAAGAGTATGTGTTTATGTATTATATTATTAAAAATATTGACTGTGTGTAAAATATCAATTTTAAAATGCGTTTTTGTTATAATATTTCTTAATATTTTAGTGTTATTTAAAACAATCGTATAATACTCTTTAGCAACGCGTAACTCAGAATGCAATAAAAACGAATTAATCTCACGGATCTTGTGAAAATATCATAATTAAAATTCACAGTGGCTTATGTGTACTTGTAATTATTACTCATATTCCTACCAATTGAAATGCAACGATGGTATCGATCTTGTGGGTTATCGAACGTTATAAATTATGCCTGTGAAAAGCGATATGACATACGCGATAAACCATAAGAGAAACGTCCGCAGCTGAATTTATTGCGTTCGTGTCGCGTAATTGCCTTTTAATATATTTTCGTTCCCCGTTATTATATTTGTGACTTTTTGCTAAGCAAAAAAAATTTGCAATATACTTTTTTTTATTATTCTCGCGTCAAAATTTTTAGAACAAATATATTTATATACCTGCCTTTTGTGTGTGTGTGTGTATGTGTGTGAGACAAAGTATATGTTTCGCATACGTATACCACATATACCTCTCTATTTTTTATGTGAAACTTACCCCTATTGCACAATTTCCTCTCAAAATATCTCATATAAACTTGTCCGTTCGATGAAAGAAGAGCAGAAAATTTTTCCTCTTCATTTTTTTAGAGACATGTCCACAAGAATTATGTATATACACGCATTTCAGAATCACTTTTTGCCTAGTTATATGCTTCATTTGCAAGTTATTTTTTTCAGTTTTCGACAATTTTTAATATTCATATGTGTAAATTTCTCGTGCGACTCCCACCGATTGGATTGTGATTATTATACATACACATATACCTCTGCGAACATAGTCACGGTTAGGTAAAATTGCAATGATGCGTGTGTATCGGCGTGCAGCAAGTTCACCTATACCAAAGAGAGAGAGAAAAAATACATAAATTTAATATATGTTATACATTTAATGCACAATGAATACATTATATTAATTAAAATATAGCTGTGAAATATAAATTGATAGGAGCGATGTAAGAAATAAATGAGAAGGTATTATGATTCGAGAAAATATTACACTTTTTGATTGCAGAAATGAAAAATAATGGGGATAGCTTCGGACTAGAAATATAAAGATTTATTTTTCACGCTGTTCATTAAAGCGAACATAAATTGCCAGCGGCGATTCAAAAATATCATTTATAGCAATGGAAAATGCAAAAGTTAATATCCTTGCAGTTAATTACGTATAACAATGATATGCCGATACGTATACAGGGTGTATCTGAAATGATGCACTAAACTTTAGGAGCATATTCTAGAGGTCAAAATAAGACTTTTTTTCCTATGAACATGGGTCCACAAATGAACCCTCCTCCGAGCCCCTAAAGTTTGGGGAAAAAATAAAAAATTGGCTGTATTTCAGTAAAAAAAAAATGGCAGAAGGTTGAACTATACACCTATTACCCTCTCTTGAGAGATAAATAAATTTGCGTTGCGAGTGTTTGGTCAATTTCACACATTTTCGAATTTTAGCTCGGGAGGGGGGTTCATTTGCGGACCCATGTTTATAAGAAAAAAAAATCTTATTTTGACCTCTAGAATACGCTCCTAAAGTTTAGTGCATCATTTCAGATACACCCTGTATATATGTACATACCTCACCGAGAAAATATCCGGCGCGAAATATATACGACGAGAATTTGAACGCAAGCGCGACGCGATAGAAGCCGATCGTCGATACTGCAATCGCAAAATATCGGACACTCCGTCCACGGTGTTTACGTTACACGTACGTCACTTTACTCGCGCGAGACACTTTTACACAGTAATAATCGCGAGAAACACGAAGCAACTTGAAAATACGACTCGACAATCCACCGCGACGCGTCCCGTGACCGACTTACTTTAACGGAAAGCAATATGGCGATCCTCGAACTATCAAAATCATATAGATGTATACGTCTATGCTCAAAGTGACCGAAGTGCATAAACGTAAAACGGTGCATTTCAATGAGTGCATTTCAGCCGATGTCGCGAATGCTAGTTACTTAATTGACGAATGTACCTTAAGAGGGCCACTTCCACCAAACTCCGATTATACCGATTATCATATAGTATTTTATTATTATGAACACGGATGTTTATACTAAACCGATTTTTTTTTTTTTTTTTAATTTGTAGTAGTATAGACATCTGTGATTATGAATTACAGATTCTGTTCATTTTTTACACTTGATACGAAATGCACATGCACATTTTTGGCATTTGTGGAAAAATAGAAAAGCAAGCACAAATAAAAATTAGAAAAAGTGCAATTATTATAAAGCGCACAGAAATATCACTTAACATAAAAAATTCGAAATTCTCCAGTAAATATCAGAGAAATATTAGAATACAAGTATAGACAACAAATTTAATTTTTATATAAATTATGATTATTAATTATGAAAAGATACCTGATGATAATATTGCGCAATGGCCAAAAAATAACGACGTGAAATATTTGAGGAGAATCTCATCGTTCGCTTAACATTTCGCACACATAAAAACGAATCTCTCACCGATACTAACGACGTGCGTAACTTTTTTATTGCATCAGACGCGGCCAAATTTTTTTCGCGCCCGCCTTAGATCTAGGCAACAACAAACACGCGACGTAAACACGGAACTAGTCGAACATCGTTACTAGAGCTATTGTTACGTGACGACCGCGACTCGCTTTGATACTCCGATAATCGCAAGTGCTCAGATTCCGCGGTCGAACGTCAAAGTGATGCGTGACACGACGCGTGGACATCTCGCGAGTGTCTCCCGTGAAGTATGTCGTATATTCGTGGTAACGCATTGAATATCACGCCAAGATATTCCGGTTTCGGTTTCCCTGTGCACACGAAAAAGTATCCTCTCGCATCCTCGCATTTCACGCAGCTATTTCCTCGCGGCGATTCGTACGATCATCGCCAGGTATATGTGTATGTTATATGTATGTATAAGTATCGTCGGAGATATATCACTTTTCTGCATCCTTATTACTAAATGTATAGTATAGTATAGTCGATCGCGGAACGCGTCGCGATGGATTGTCGAGTCGTCTTCAAGTCGCTTCGTGTTTCTCGCGATTCATGAGTCTCTGATATCGCGTGTTCAGTATCAGTGATCGGCTTCTTCGAGCTTGCGTTCAAATTCTCTTTGTATAATGCTTTTGCATTATTGTTGTGTGCGTATGGCGTATGCAGTAATTTTATATCAAGCCTAAATTTCGCTTAAAACTGTTACTTTATTATAATTTATTTATTTCTTACATTGTATGTGTTTTTTTTTATTATTAAATGATATTTTATGTTTATTCCAAAATTATATATATGTACAATTTAAAAAAATTAAATTCGTAATTCTCGGATTATTAACCTCAGTTGATATATGCTCGTTAATCCGATGTTACCGACGATCAGACATGTCAAGTTCTGTAATTCTGTAATTATCTTTGAGCTCTGCTGATAACATTCAATATCTGTGTATATATTATATATAATTCCAAAGATACAATATTTACATTAGCATTTTTAATAATCTTTTATTTTATTTTAATAGCTTGTGTTTGCCTTCTTGTTAAGTACTAAATCCAGCTAGTAATTAATTTATTATTATATTTATAATTACTTGTTATATATGCTTTAAATAAATTACGAATTAATCTAAATATAATTATGTAGATTAAAAGTTAATTTGATTTAATTTTTTTATAATTTGGAAAGTGCAATATATGCAAATTAAAAATATTCAAACAATGATACTAAAAGAATTTACTAAATGAATTAGTTGATAGAGCTAGTTAATACCTAGCTAATTGCTTGTAATGGGTGATAAATATTTAATCGTCTATTTTAAATATAAATAAAAAAATCAATATTTTGGTCTATCTGTAACTTTATCTATGAATTGTGTTATGCTCGTGTTAACCTCTGACAATAATTTTATCTCTTAAAAAATCCTGAAAATTAAGGGTAAAATTAAAAAGATAATCGAGATAAACAAAATAATTGCTCCGACAAATATATAAGTAAATACTTTATTAAAAATGTTTTATATATACACATCACAGCATAACATACTTTAGATTGAGTGTATTATTATGCATGCGATGCACCATATCGTAGAATTAAATTATGTAAGCTCGAATCGAGTTGCTATCATGCACACATGTGACTTTTAATTATAATTTGTCGAAGTCAGCAACGAGACAGTTTATTTTGTAATTTTTGCTGGTACATCGAAACATATAACTTTGTCATTTCCTTCTCGCAATGCGTAACGTACGACCAATGCAACCTGTAACAACGTTATGATAAACATTAATTGCAACGTGGCAAATTAACCAGTTACGAAACGATGTATAATTAAACAAAGGAACGACTTTACTCGAACATTAAAAGAAACTCCACGATTTTACTGGCTTATTATTACGTCTTTGATTAATAATGTAAACGCTCAACTACACGTGCGTACGGGCCTTTCCCTTAAACTATAAAAAAGTTTGTGCAAAATTACCCTAGGATAGAACGCCAGTACGGGAAAACTGTTCTTGTAGAGATATTCGACATCTTTTTTCAACGGACATCCGGCTTTGCTACCATCGGTATTATAAATATTATCGCAAGCATTTGTCCCGTCGACTCCTACAAATGGCAAGGGTACACCGAAAAGAATCGCGCCCACGTCATTGATCAAATTTTCAATGTTTCTGTTGGGCACAAGTTTGATCTCTATCGAAACAGTCGTTCCCTGTTTCAATGTGCATGTCGGTTGATCGCAGTCGGACACGCTGATCTGCGTAGAATCCTCGAATGGAACTTCTGCAACGATGAAATTATATTATCATAGATAAATGGAATATTACAACTTGAATATTTTAATACTTGCTACATTTTGTTACATAACGATATGCATAATTCATATTATTTTGTTATATACATTATTTATATTTAATATAACACGTGTATTTTTTTTAATTTTTTTTATTCACCTAAGATAAGATAATCTGAAATTAAAATAGAAGCGCTACACGCATTAAAAAAGAACATGTATATGTATATATTTGTGACTTAATGCTCGATGCTCATTGGTCTCTAGACGCTTTTATGTTATGCATATGCAGTTATGTCAATTTGTGTGCAATGGCCCTAATAGTCCAAGAAGAATCTTTTACAGCTTGAATGTAGACTACCTTGAAATACTTGATTTCCTTCATCGAGAAATTTAAAGGCACCGTAGTGTTAATAAGAACGCGAAAAAGCAATCAATTTGAATGTTTTTAAACGGTGCGTCTTTTTTGTTACTTCTTTCGCAGACAAAATCTATTAATCTAACGATACTCGAACCCGCATTTTTTTATTAAATTTTATATGAACCACCTCAACTCTAACTTAACATTTAACAATATCCATTTTGAAAAATTTATTTTCAATAGGAAAAATTTTTATAAATCATATAGAATTATTGGATAAATCTAATTTCACAAAAAAAAACGAGACATTGCATTAAAAGCCAAGTACGTAGTCGACATTAATAGTAAGCAGTTTTTTTGCAAATCTCTAGTTGGAAGAGAAAAAAATGATGAACAAACAATACGTTGAAAGGCAATGTGTGCTTGCTCTTTATGATTATGTCCACAACTGAAGGCCAACATCTCAATAGCTAAATACAGTTGCTCAACAGGAAACGTGATTCTAGATAATAACACGAATATTATATTAATTCAGATAAATACTCGTATACGAACATATATTTTTTTAATATAATTTTTGTAATAAAATTTTTATAAATACAGTATTTTTAATTCTAAATTTTTTATAATATATACAATTATTACGTGATAATAAGACGATAATTTTCAAAAATTAAAGCATTTTTCGACGATATTAAAAGCATACGATGAATTAGATAAAAAGCAAACACGGTTCATATAAAATTGCTTAATAAAAAAACAATATTTTACGAAAAGTGCGCGTAGTAAAGTGAGTGCGTTAGCAGCACAAAGTACATTAAAAATATACGTAATATCGCAACTACCAGCATAAAAACTACCAAGTTTTTATATAGAGAACCTGAGAAACTTGAAAAATTTTCATATGTCTGAGAAACCAACTAAACTACTAACGGTATTCATAAATCGGTCAGTTGATAATCGCGACGTTCAAAATAGGTTTATGGACTTTATGCCTTTTTGCTGCTTTTATCATCAAGTATATCGAGAAAGAATATTATCGCTTGAAGATTTATGCAAATAAAATATTACGGCTAATGTTTCTAATTCAGCATTGAAATTCTAACGGTGTAACATGTCGGTCATAAATTAACGCTCATGTTAGTATTCCGCTCGTCACTTTCACCGCATGTCAATTATGTTTCTCACAAGTAATTACATGGGTATTAATAATAATATTAAAGCTCGTTGCCTCGTTCGCATGGTATCTCCAATAATTAGCAGTCATTAAGCGTATCATGGATTGATAAAATTACGAGAACACTAATTATAGCATGCATCATGGCACGAGAGACAATCTTCGACATAATCGTCCTATGCTCACTTGCTTGACTTGCGTGATAATTTACCGTTGTCTCGTCATCTAATAATTTTTAAAGGAAATATCTGCTTGAACAATTTATCGTACAAATATAGACATTATTTCTGTTGATGCAATGCGTCTTGAAACGTATCTCTTGTAGCAAAAGAAAAGTTATAGATTTTGAAAATTATATCGCGTGACAAGTTCTTCATTTATAGAAAGTTCCTAGAATATCTTGTCAAACTTTCACAATGTATTTTTATGCAAATTGTACTGATAAAAGAAACTTTGATAAGATAGATTAAATCTATTTTTCTAATATTCAAAAGATTGAACACAAGAAAGAGACCAACATTCAAACAAAATATGAAAACAAATATCATTTGATATTGTGCTCAGTTACAAAATATAAATAATAAATATCAAATAATAATAAAAAGTGTACTTCAAATTTTAAATAAAAGCACGTAATGTCTCTCCCTAATTATATTATTTTTATATTTTATTTTGTCTAAATTCTTATCGGTCTTTATCATTATGTTACGTTATGTTTACTTTGTTTCCATATTTCTCAATTTTGGTAAATATGTTTTATTATGAATCATAACTTATCTTATCGCTAAATTTTATCTTATTATAGAAATACACCGTTTTTAATTTCTAAACCCGTGCTCACAGCCTTAAAATACACACTATAACTCGAAAGACACACTATAACTCGAGCTCTATAACAAAAAATACTTACGTATTTATATCAGTAAAGCATTTTTTATCAACATAATAAGTAAAATACATTGATAAATTTTGACCAAATTTTAAAAATATTATGTATAATAAAATTTCACCGTAATGTAACGTCGAGAAAGTTTCACGAAAGCACTCAACGATATCGACAGATTCTCGCAGAGACGCCATAATTTTTAAGCTAACATCTCGAGATCTGTAGCCGTTTCAATAACATCAAACACGATTATGACTTTTTGCAAGTTTCATATTTATTCCCATGATTTTCTTTTCCTACGAAACACTTTAACACACTTAACATGAAACTCAGAGATAAATCTGTCTTGCATGTTCGAAATAATAGTATTGATCATTTAATTGTTGTCGAACAAGTTTTCATTTACTATCGCATTACACACATTTGGCTATATTTTAGACGATGCTATATGAGAATTAAACTCTCCCACAAAATTTAAAAAAATAAATAAATTATGAATATAGCGCTAAAATATACGGCAATATAAAAACTTATGATTTCAATACAATGTATGAAAAATTGTTATTTGATAGACTAACGTGTTTTTATCTAAGAAATATCGTATTTTACATACCAGAGTCGCAATGATTAACTAAAGTAGCACCGGCAAATACGACAAGCGCCGCGAAAACGAGAGCCGTTTCCCTCAGCATT